TTGCAAAGGTCTAACAGGAAGCACTCACTGTGGGGCAGCCATGAACAGTGACTAGACAGAGCAACGTGTCAGATGACATTAGACACCCTGTCACTGCTGACCTGCCAGAACTGGCAGGTCAGACATGCAGGTTCTGGTCCTGCCACATTTCTGGTGTTATTTGAGCATGAGCAAAGACTAGATTATGCTCCAGTATGGTCTGTCTTTGCTTGCAAATGAAACTAGCTCATATTTAGTTGTGGCATTCTCAAAATTTACAAGGTTTTTATACCTGCCCCTTTACTCCATATTTAATTTCTTAAAATATCGGAAAATGTCATTAATCACAGGATAGAGGGGTTAATAAGTTTATCTCTTTTTACTCTATTTACATGGGTTCTGTGGATTGAACTCAGTCAACAGGCATGCCAACAAACACATTTACTGGCTGGGCCGTCTTGCCAGTCTCTTGGTCTGTGCTTTGATTGTCCCTGAAACTTCCTTAATTTATCTTCATGGTGACTGATGCTCTTGAACAACACCTGTGTTTTTTTAATGATAAAATGGTGGTAATAGTGAAAAATGATGGATGAAAACCCCTAATTACTAAATTGGCCCAGCTGTTGGCTCACAAACCAGACACTGGAATCTTTTAGAATGTATTAGCAAATGTATTCCACCCTGCTCGCTTCCTCCTTCCCTCCCTCCCTCCCTCTCTCTCTCTTTCTTTCTTTCTCCCTCCCTCCCTCTCTTTCCTTTTTTTCTCTCCCTCCCTTTCTTGCTTCCTCTCTTCCTCTCTCCCTACCTTCCTCACTTTCTCCTGCCCACTCTCTTTCCTTCCCTTTCTCTTTCTCTCTCATTTCCTTCCCTCCATTTCTATTTCCCTCCTTCCCTCTCTCCCTTTCTTTTCCCCCTTCTTTTCTTTTCTTTATGATTGTCATTTAACTTCTTAAAACAAGATCAAATATTTTGTCAATTTCTTTCTTATCCTGATTCTAGGACCTCACTTGAGACTTTAGTGCTTTTGGTGAGTTCAGTGACAACCACTTGTTTTCAGGGTTGTTTCTATTTCAGGTTCTAAACTTCACACTATTTCTGGGGTATTACCTAATTAGCATTTGTGCTGATTTTCTATGCATTTGGATTCCTTCAAGTATTTTGATTAGTTTCACAATGATATTACAATTATAATATGTTAAAATTGTCTGAGAATAATTTTTCTTCCCTATCCATCTTCTAATTCTACTGAAGTAATTTATGAAAGATTTTTACCATGTAAGACGTAATTATGATTTTATATTAAATCCATTGACAGAAATACTGCTTTATCATTTTCTTCAGCTGGACTAAGCTTTAGGAACACTACTTCTAGCCTCCAGCTCTTTCCTCTTCAAAGCCTCAAGTTGATCTAACAACGCAGGTATGCCTATGGAGAACTTCTTTGAACTCTAAACGCCAGGGAAGATGGCGCCAATGCCCCAGTCTGCAAAGAGTCAAGCTTTAGGAAATGTCTTGCTTGGTGTGTAAGGATAGAAGCCGAAGTCCAGATGTCTTCCTCCAAATCACAAAGCCTGCATTTGGGCATGGAGATATCAGAACTACGTTGTTGCTGAGAGGGCAGAGAAGGAAGTGTTTTCTTTAGCTCCTTAAATATTTTAAGTCTTCCTTTTTGTTTCTTCTTTTGCATTCCTTCCTCTCTTCTTTTCTATTAATGGATCTTTATTTTGAATTGTATATACTTGGTTCATTTTAGTAAAAACATCTATTTTAAGTTACTTTATTTTAGGAAAAGTTAGGGCAACCTAACTTTATAGAGAATACTTGTTTTTCTTTTAGGGTTAAAACCTCTGAGACACAAAAATCCTCTACTTCAAACAGTACTCATTGAATACTTATTCTATATTATTCACAGTAGTCTAAGGGTGTAATAATGATTACAAAAACATGCATGGATTTTTGTACTTGTGAAGTTTGTAATCTTGCACTAGTCAATAAATCACAAAAACAAATGAAAAAATGTGTGGTAAGTGTGAGAATGAGAAATGGAGTACTTTTTGGCTATAAGCCTATTCGATAAACCAAGCTCAGGGTTCTGATTGGTTGTGATAACTGAGGGTTATAGACGAATTTCTAAGCAGTCTTATTAAATAAGAAACACAGAGCCAAATACAGGGGTGCAAGCCGTAGAGATCAGAGAAATAGTGAGAGCCACCAAACTAACCTTACTCACCACACCACCATCACTTCCCAACAGAACTAAACCGGCTTCTTCCTGTCTAACCTGCACCTTTATCGCCTTGCTGTTCTGCCTTCTCATTGACTCTAAGCCCAGCCAGAAGACTTCCTCGTCACTGCCTGTCTATATAGAACTCCAGGTCTCTATGGTTGGTACTGGGATTAAAGGCAAGTGTCACCATGCTTGGCTGTGTCCTTGACCACACAGAGACTCTCCCTGCCATGTGATCGGATTAAGGGCGTCTGCTACCACTACCTGACTTCTGTTTATGGCTGACTATGACCTCTGATCTCCAGGCAAACTTTATTAACATACAAATAAAATACCACCACATTTTGGCACAAATAAAATATCACCACAGAGGGTAGAAAGACCCAGAAAGAATATCTAGGTTATAGGATGTATGCCATGATGCAGAAAATGAGATAATATTGGAGGGACTGAGGGAAGACCTCTGGGCAGATGGGTAAAAGAAAAAGATTGTGTGAGATGAGATTGACACAGGAGACATGGGGTATTTTATAGAAAACAAACGAAAAAACAAACAAACAAAAACAAAAAACAAAAAACTGACCACAATATCACAGGACTAAAAACTGCCAAGTTGTGAGAGAATCATGAGGAGATGAGGGTCAAACCACATTTTCATAGCTGCTGCAGAAGAGAAGCCAAGAGAAGCACATAGTGCTCAGAAGAGGTGGGGGTGAAGAGCCCAGATCCCGACAGTGAGAGGAGAGGTGGGTCCACAGCCCGGATCCCAACACTGAGAGGAGAAGTGGGTCAACAGCCCGGATCCCAACAGTGAGAGGAGATGTGGGTTCACAGCCCGGATCCCAACAGTGAGAGGAGATGTGGGTTCACAGCCCGGATCCCAACAGTGAGAGGAGATGTGGGTTCACAGCCTGGATCCCAACAGTGAGAGGAGAGGTGGGTCCGCAGCCTGGATCCCAACAGTGAGAGGAGAGATGGGTCAACAGCCCGGATCCCAACAGTGAGAGGAGAGGTGGGTCCACAGCCCGGATCCCAACAGTGAGAGAAGAGGTGGGTCCACAGCCTGGATCCCAACAGTGAGAGAAGAGGTGGGTCAACAGCCCGGATCCCAACAGTGAGAGAAGAGGTGGGTCAACAGCCTGGATCCCAACAGTGAGAGAAGAGGTGGGTCCACAGCCTGGATCCCAACAGGACAATGAAGGAGGAGAGCTGAGGCCAAGCTCCGTGCCACATCTACTGCTGTAGTTGGCATGAAGTTACCGAATAGCTTTAAGCTGAGCATAAGAGGGACGGTGTGCTTCCCGTACGCTGGCAGACCAGAGGGCTGTGCGGAGGATGGCTTTGAGAGCAGGAAGACAGCAAAGCCACTAAGAGGCTGTTGTGGAAGTGCGAGTAGGAGCCAGCAGGGTCTGAGGAGGGTAGCTGTGTTCAGTACTAGAGGCCCCTAGATAGAGTTCATTCTGTCAGCAAACCCTAGCTCCCATTGAGGAAGGAGCCCAATGGTGTGTGGCTTTCTTTTGAACGCCCACAGGAGACAGGACTAGGCCCTTTTAAGGAAGTTCTCAAACCATTCAAAGACTCTGTTAGTTGACATTAACAGTTTCCTCAATTTTTCTGTTTAGCAAAGAATTAAGTTCCCCAGAGCAACAGAATAAAGCCTGTCTCTAGCATAGACACTCCCCGCACTGAAAACAGGAATTCATCCTATCACCCTGGGCTTTCCAGACCCAGGAAAGAACTGCACAGAAAATGAAAGGAAGTCGGTCAATTTCGTTAATAGTCAATTATTACTGTTGTGATTGTTTATGTTCAAATGTTCAGATACAATTCTGAGTACACTGAAAAAAATGAGAATTTCTTGATTTTCGAAAATACAAAGCATTGGAATTCTTAAAGATATCCATACATATTTTATTTGTAACAATTTTTTTATCAATAAATGAAATAAAACCAAATGTAGACCCTGCTGAAGCACATTGGTTATTTTACTGTAATATGATTATTCCACCAGACCAGAGATTTTGGAGTTTATTTGATCGGATTCTAATCCCGTATGGACTTCTCTTTCCAGCTTCCACCACTGTGAAGGTTTTTTGAGACATTAGCTTGGATATCCACAGCTTTTACTGCTTTTACAGTTAACACTCTTCCCTCAGCTGTGATTCTTACTCTTTCAGTAAACTCTAGTCAGTGTTTGAGCTGGGTTTGCTGCACAGGCGTGGCAAGTTTTCCAGACTTATGCAGTCTGTTCCCTCCTTTCACTTTGTAATGCATTTATCCCTGGTTCTCCCCTGACTTCTCTTTTTAACACTAATGCCTCAACAGGTATAAATCATCCCATTCTGCATGGCGTATTCATGGTGCTTGTTGGTGTTGTTTAATGTATCTGCCCTAATTAGAATTCATCATGTCCTTTCTCTGCTTGCACATGTAAACTCAGAGTTCAGGTTGAGGAATGTTCCAGCTTCTTTATCTTTTAGTTTGTTTATTCTCCCACTCTCCTTGAGAACTATTTTAAGTCTTTCTCCTGACACTTAACCTGTTTAGCTCCCATTGCTTTCTGAGTAGGTGACTTCATACCTATTTCATCAATGAAATAATAGACATCAAAAGGAATCCTTTTGTTTTAACCCTCTTCATACAAAAGCTAGTATCTATATTCACTGTCTTGCCTTTTCTTTACTGTTTATGGTTTTTGTAAGGGAGTAGTTTCAAGCTTTGCCTCCACATAACAATGTATAAATATACTCCTGGCTGGGCTGAAAAACTCGTTGAAAAACACAAGATGTCCAAGTTGATATTTTCAATATTTATTAAGAAGGCTGATATAACAGCCTTTATACAGCACAGTTTTCATAAGTTACCAAGATACAACTTGTGTATAGTCACAAAACCAAGACAAGTTTTTACAGAGAGTAAAACTCAAGACAGATTTACAAGCATTTGTTCTACACAATTCTCATATTTTCAGGTCAGTTTACACAATCAATAGCCCAGGAATTTGCATTTGTTCATTAAATTTTTCAGAGTGTTAAGTAAACAAAAAAATAATAAAAAGATTAGCAAATCACCAAGAAAGCATGCAAGATATGGTCAGAGAAACGAGACACTTCTCCAAGTACTTCATGTGTTATTGGAAATTAATTTTATTAGGTTTTAAACTTTTCTTAGACAAGAAACACCTTTTTTTAAACAGATGTGTTGTTAAGATATTAGCACACACATTAATCAGTATGGGAGCACCTGAGCACATCACTGAACACAGACACAGACACAGTCGAATGAGAATCAGTCACATGCTGACTTCCAAAGGATGAAGTTAGTTCAACAGCTGCTGTGTTACCGAACGTTTAGTTATATACAGGGGAATGGATTCAGAAAATGCTCTCAGTCTACCTAGCAGATAAAGAACTTGATTAATGATTTCTGTTTAATGTGCATCTTTAATAGTAGCCACATGAGACATACAGAAAACATCAATATGTCATATTCAATGAGAATATAAGTTTCACTCATTCATTCTTGTGTTATACTAAAGGCAAATAACTATTAAGGGAAAAGCTCCCGATTATTTATCAAGCTTTCACTTTTATTTCAAACTCAAAGGGAGGAAAAGTCTCTTCTGTCATACATATATTTATAAACACATGTAGCTGTATTTGGCTAATTTTGGACTATTTGACATTATAGCAATTAAAATAAGTTTTTAAAAATATTGTTAGTTATGATTTAAATAATAAAGTAAAAAAATACTATAAACATCTTTATGGTATTTTAATGAAATGAAGCATTGATTAAATCATTTCTAACAAATTGGGCACAATATAGTAATAAATAATCTATTTTACTCCACATCACTGCCACCACTATTGTCACTACGGCTATCACCAACACCAAACAACCACTCTATAATGAGAATCAGTGTCAGCTGGTTACCAGCTATAATATTCCCAGGATACAATTATTCGAGTGTGTGTGCGATTCCCCCAATCAACCTCCTAGATATGCAGACAATGTATAGTTAACTATCATGAATTACTAAAATATGGACAATATTAAGGGTCAAGGGCAATTACCTCTTAATGTTGAGCATCGCTCTTTTAAACAGACATGGTAATCAGATGAGTTCAGAGTCACCACAATTTTTCTTGATATTAGGTAAAATCAGAGAAAACACCAACTTCTTGCTACTAGTGTTATCTGCATCTGTACAATGATTCTACAATTCCCCGTCTTTCATAAAAATTCACTCTGTGCTTTTTCTTCTCCAGTTGCAAGATTCCTTACTACTAATTTTTAAACCAACAAGCAACTTCCATTTTTGACGACTCAATGGACTAGTATGGAAAACAAAATGCTTCTCGAGGTGCTGCAAGAAGATTAATAACCTAGTGATTAGAGATTATAAACTTTGTTACTGTTAAGATAGAAAAGCTAATTCTAATAACATAACATAAAATAAAAAATGGAAAACCATGTGTTATTTACAAAAAAGTAAAAAAACACTAAGAGCCCTATTTGCAATTAAAAAAGAAATAGTTTCGCTGTGAGAAGGGCAGTCAGCGTCCCTCAGGAGTGCATTCGGTTAAGAATTGGTGTTGCATAGAGCAATTCCTGTAGCAACCTAGGAGCTTGGTCAGCTGCGAACCTGGCGCACTGGCAGGTTCTTTTTCTTTTGCAAGGGGAATGCTGGTGCATGAGGAGAAGCTCTGTCCTTGACCCTCTCGATGGATCTGATGGGTCTAGCCCTATTGCTAGTTCCTTGGAACGGAGGCGCAGCTGCATCAGAAAGGCTCCCATTGTTTCAGGCTTCATAACTACTCCTGACGACCTTGCTCTGCTGGTCCCTCTGGCCCTGCAAGTTGTAACTAGAATGGAGGAAGCTACCTGGCTACATAACCTTTCACAAATGCTTGGAGTACCAGCGACTGTAGGCCCAGGTAGGAGATAACCAGAATCGCCTGTGAAGAGCAAATGGCAGATCCTTTGATGTCACAAAAATCCTCTTAGACCCCTTTCCTCCCCAGTTGTGACTGATTATAGGCTTCCTCAAGTGGAGTGTCTGCTGGAAATATCCATGGCAACCACCACAGATGTAGCAGTCTCTAAAAATAAAATGTTAGCAGTGTCCTGTGTTTGAAAATTCCCATCTCCATGTTCACTTTAAAAGACTACCAGTCATAAATGGTACTGCATTGAGGGGAGAAGAGAATAGAGGAAGAGAGAGTTGGTGTTTTAGGACAAAGAAAAGAGAACTTGCATTTTTTAAATGAGTGTTAGTTATACAATTTGGCATATACTAGAATTTTTTTACTTCTAGGGTTTTACATTACTTTCAAATGTAATGTTTTTTTTTTCCTAAAAATGAGAAAATTCAATATCCAACCAATATTTTTGAGATGACTTCCTGTAATCCCAAAAAACCTCACATTAAATAAAGTAACAATTTTTAGGCTCAAATACTCTGCAAAGCAATTTGGTTCATTTTGGGTAGAGTGTGACAATAGGGTGAGAGCTATGGACGTCAATAAACTTTGTATGACAAATAACTTACATTTAATGTTCTATCTTTTTCAGGTTAAACGGAAGTTTATATTTTAATAAAAATTAGTTTGGGAACAATTTACTGTTTTTATCCATGCTGATGCTTATCATTGGTTGGAAGTTGTTTCTCACATATAAAATTTGAGAATTAAAAAGCTATGCAATAATTATTTCTCAGTTTGTATATAAAGCAATATTTGGAAATGTGCTTTCTTATTTCATAGATCTCTTTATTTAAGCATCCTGGTATCCTGTGAAGAAGGATAAGAAAACATTATTATTTAGGGGCAAAGTGAATTTAATCTGCATTTTTGCAGTGATATGTGTGCAAGGTCAGTAGCAAAATCAGGACCAGAAGCCAAGACTTCAGAGCCCACTGAGTGCATTTCCCACAATTCTGTGTTGCTTTCTTTATTGACACTGGTGATTGACAAGGAGAGAATGCTTTATTTTAATGATTCACACATTGGTTGTTTGGGTCTATATTATTAACATAGATCAAATATAATTTAATTTCAAACATTGGCTTTTCCAACTCCAACATTAGCTTTCTAATGATGATATTATCATCAACAAGAAAGTAGAGGAGGAGTAAAGACTTGAGGTTGAGGTCAGGGTGTTCATTATATCATCACTGAGTTTAGAGAAAAACCACAGAAAATCAGAAAGTGACAACAGTTTAATCAGTGTCCTAAGATAAATATGGTTTGTTTGCCGGAACAATAATTTCACGTCTCTGACAATCCATTATCCAAGAGAAAGGAAATATGTAGAATGATGCACGTCATGGCAGTTCTTCAATGAATAAACAACCCTCTTCATAGGACACACCAATTAATCTAGATGCCTTGATGTGTACGGTTGAGAATGCCTTGACTTCATGGTGCATTATAGAGATTTTAATGTTTTCAACCAAGGTACGTATTTTGTGGGTCAGCATTCTTCTTTAATATCCAGTCACTAGTTTTGTTTTATTTCTAGATGAATACAATTGAATTTTTACCTACTATTATCTCCACTCTTCACTGTTTTCAATTACCCAAAAACAGATGTGCTTTTACCACATAGAATTCAGACCTACTGCTGTATAGCTTTCTAATGTAGACACAGGGAAAACATGCACAGTTCAATCTAAAATCCATTGTTCATAACTCTTGCTTACTTTTTCTCACAAACACAGTCACTTTCTGGTCCTGTAGAAAACTCATAGATGAATCTTACGTCAGAATCCCAAAGCAGAAAGTTTTACGAGAATATAAGACAAGGAGTTTTTAGCTTTTCAAACCAAGATTCACTCTACCTGTCCTTTCCAACAAATTTTCTATGTGTATAAACAACTGCTTTCACTCTGCCTCGACCACCATAAAAATCTTTGTGCCTTTTCCATCTGCTCTAGCTCAGTCTGCTCCAAGACTTCTACCTTAAAAAGTCAAATCTCCTTTCATAGTTTCTCTTCACAGCTTTGAGTAATCCAGTGTCTCGGGCCGATTTTCATCGCTTTGCTTTCGATACGTGAACTTTTTGAGTCATTTTGTATTCCACACCAATGTGGTCTCTTTGCTTCTTGTTTCCTATCCCATGCTGGCTCCTGAAATGTAGCTCAGCACAGGACTGTTCAGCTACAGTCTCGATCTGAGGCTCCGAAGCTCTGTTTCCTCACCCTGAGCAGACACATCTTCAATGTGTTTGAGTAGGACTGACCAAAAGTTTGTGCCAGTTGACTAGTCTTTTTCTCAGGTCTACTTTGTCAAGCCAGATACAGGCTTCTCCAATCAAAGTCTTCTTCATAAACTTCCCTCCATTGGAGAAAAGTAAAATCTAGAAAACAAAGTCAGAATTATACATATAGTTATACACATATGTGCATTTTTCAACTTTTCAAGATTTTTATCATAAAAAAAAACTAGGAAGAGAGGGAGATGTGAGTACTTGAAAGTACTTGAAAGAAAGGAGAACTATTAAAATATCTATAAATACAAATTAGTCCAGATCAACATATCTATTATCCCCCCACTTAAATTTTATTATACCCCCAAATCACACACTGTGAAAGATAGGCAAGTATGATATAGAGAGGAAAAGCTTATTTTAATTAGATATGCTTAAATTGAGGTAAAATTTCCTATTTAAAATCTGTAATTTCAGATGTAACTATCACTGTGTTTTTTGACTTGGGATTTTACATAATTTCCTTATCACTAGAGTCCCTAAGATCGTATCGAGTTCATTTCAGGAACACTCCTCATGCTTCTTCCTCCCAGCTCTCCTCTCTTCATCTCTGGCTGACACCTTTGTTTTCAGAGGCTTTAGAGCTTTGTCCTTAATTGTTTCTTCCTACCTTCACACTAGCTAATTCTGTCAGTGAAGCTTAACTTTGTTTCTCAAATATATATGTATATTTTTTAAAAAACTTAATTTATGTGCATGTGTGTCTGGCAGAGTCCAGAAGAGAGTGTCAGCGTTCCTGAAGCTGCAGCTACAGGCAGCTGAGAACCAGCTGACATGGGTGCTGGGTCGTGAAACTTGGTCTTCTGGAAGAGCAGCATGTACTTTTCCCATTGAGTTATCTATCCACCCAGCCCCCGGACTTGGGTATGTTTATCTCCATTGCAAGACATTAAGTGCTGCTATCATGAAATGGCTTCATTTATCTCCATCTACTCCCCTCTATCCACATTTCCTTTCCCCGTCTTGTCTACTAAAGGCATGCTGTGTGAAAATCATTCTGCTAGACTGCAGGGAAAAAGCTAATGAAAATTAGGCCTTGCCCTAGTGAAATAGTGGCAGGTAAGCACACAAATTATTGTACAGGAGAAACTTTGTTTAGTAGCATAATAAGTAAAATAATTTGTGAATAATGTGTTATGAATTATACTTAGGGATCTCAGTAAAAATCTATATTGAAAGATGGAATACGGTGATACATGAGAAGGAAGCTTGGAAGGAGAGGAAAACATGAGCAAAGAACTCAAGGCTGAGCTAATCTAAAGAGACTCAGATGTGTCTGGAGTATTGATGAATGGAAAAGTGACATGGAACTAAGACTGAGTCAATATAGCTAAAGCTCGTTTTGGAGGATTTTGAATGATGCAGAAAAATGGTGTTTTACTGAGCAGCTTTAAGGGGACCCAACCAGTGTTTAGTGAAGGGAACTCTGGCCGCAGTGTGGTGAATGAAAGAGGTGAGACCTCAGTGAGAAGCCGACTAGGTGAACTACCAACATTCTGTAAATAACAAAAGGCAAGAGCCAAAAAGCATTAGAGAGCGTGACCATGGGAACAAGAGAAATCCACCTAAAGCAGCAAAACAGAGTAGAGAATTAGTGGATGATTGGATAGAGTGAATGGGCTAAGAGGGTTCAAAGGGCTCCTGGGGTGATACTTCTAATGATTAACTACTATACAGTATATGATCAATATATAAACACTGAATAATTGAATGAGCAACAACTATAATATGGATGAAAAAGTTCATCAGTAATATGTGATGCAGTTACCTGAAGAGAATGGCCTGCAGGACTAAGACTGAATCTAAAAGTCTCGTTGAAGGAAGGCTCTCGATCATGTCTGCATACCCTTGTTTTCTTCTTGATAACCTTTTTTTGAGTAGAGATGTTTATCACATATACTTTCACATATAAATCTGAAAATAAGAAGTAAGCCTGTTAAATGTCCATCAATCAATCACAGTGTTTTCTGATGCATGATGATGTTCTCCCTATGTTCTATACAAGCACAGTGAATTGTATACAATTTGTTGCAGAAAGCATACAGTGATTGAAAGTATACAATTTTCTTAGAAATTTGTTAGTTTTACTGTTGTTTATTAAATGTAGCACTCCAGTTTATATGCTGGAAAATCTAGCTGAAGACTAGGAAAATGATTTTATCCTTAAAGTGGAAATTAAATTCTTTTTTCACATTTTTTCTAATGTATTTCATGCACAGGTAAAGATTTAGGTAGAATTTCTCAGAATATTTGAGACACAGTCCTAGTCAACTAATAGATATCGTCCACTGATTATTATCATGAGACTGGATACCTGGTAAATGATCCGGAGACTTAAATTTGTAGGTGATATTTCTGCACTGGAGAATTTCAACTATCACTTGTTCACCATCTGTTTTCATTTCTTTTTTCAGTGCTAGCTTGATTTCTCCCATTACTTGAGTTTTTGCTGGAAGAATTTAACAAAAACAAGTTGAGTGACAGTCGCTACTTATTAAATATTTAACTTAATCACTTTCACATGTTCACTTACTGGATGTTTTATCAAGTGTTAAACACCTTATTTTATGTTATGGACATAAGGCACAGTCAAAATCCTTAAGGAGTAAATGGCTTCATGGGATCACATCATTCAGATACTTGTAATAAAGCATGCTAAATATGATGGTTGGCTGGTAAGCAGGGAGATAAAAGAAATCGTAAGGAGATGTATTACTCAGCTGTGGAGTCTTAGGCCTGAAGAAGCAATAGATAACCTTGTAGGAAGAAAGACAAACACGGAAATTACGAAATTCTAATACAATATACAGGGAATTAAAAAGCCTTAAAATGTGGTATGTTGTTTGCCAACAGTTGTGTATCACCAGGCTTGCTCCAGAATACATGGTAGGGTAACCAACTCTCTCGGTAGAGCTCCATTTCCGGTTTCCTTCGTAAAATAGAGACAGAAGTGATGTGCAATGGTAAAATTACATAAGGCAAAAGTCAAAGTGATCTAAACTAGATTCATTTTAGTTTCTTCTGGTGTTTTATCTTTTTTTTTAATTGGAGGAACATTTCGTGCCACATCAAATCTGTTATTAATCCACCCATTTCTCTATTAATTCATGGACTCATTCACCAAATCATAATTCATTCACTCTTCTACTTTGGCTGAACATCCTGCTAACAGAATGAATACACTATGTAGAGAATCCCAAAGCATGAATGCAAGTTTATTTTTAAATGAGAATGCTACATTTCAGATCTTGATAGATATAATCCACATAATGAAGACTGTCGATTTTTTTAACAGTACAAATATAGCCTGAAAACAAATATTTGAGAACACATTGTTGGCAGCTGTACTTAAAACAAAATATAAACTTAGATATTTTAAATATTCATTCATCCAGGCTCACAGGATTTTTCAGCTATTGAGGAGAGATATTTTAATTAGATATTTCTATGGATAAACAAATGCCTAGGAAGAAAAGTTCTGAAGCATATCGTGACATGGTTTCACAGAGAATGTGACACAGGACCTCATCCTGGAAAAGAGCTGGAGCTGGGAGTGAGATGAGGAGGAACTGAGATGCAAGGGAAAAGGAATCCTTCTGGACTAAGGAACAACACGTTAGCAAACAGGAACATCAAATGGGAAATCCAGGCCTGGGAAATCCGGGTCTGAGGGACTGCGAGGTTCTGTTCATTGGGGCCATGTTAACAGCTTTATCTACATATTCAGAACACAGGCATCTATTAACAGTCTTTAAATGCAGCTGCCAACAATGTATTCTCAAACATTTATACTTTAAAAAATCAGAAGGGCCTTTTTATGTGGATTATATCTGTCAACATTAAGAGTTGTAAAATTCTAATTTAAGTATAAAGTATAAACTTAGACATTTTAAATAATCATTCATCCAGTATGAATGAAAATATAAGTAAATGAGGAATATTTGTTTTATGTACTTTTCAAATTTTCAAAATGTTTGGCTTAACAACAAATGTAACCTCATAAATTCTACATTAAATCCACGGTGACATACTATTTTCACAGAAGTGTGTGAAGTTCATTCAGGATTAGAAATAGAAAGTATATTTTGACATCCATTTTGGACAATTGTCGATAATCTTGATACCATACTAACACTTAACTAGTGTAGTTTCTTGGAAGTTATGGGCAAAGTAAGATCAGAGGAAAATGGACACTCCTAAAGTTCCAATTTAATATAAAATAATAATCAGAAAACTGTGAAGTTACTTCAATAATGATATCACTAAGAAGCTTAAAAAGTGATTCAATTTCTAACTCCAAAAGCTGGAAAAAAATAAAAAATGAAACAAAACAAACGAACAAAAAAGCTAGAAAGTACCAAGAAAGAAATAATAGAAGATAAAAATAAAAATTTGTGAGGCAGAGAATTAAACAGATTCATAGATAACATTAACATATCAAAATTCTGGAACTTTAACAAATATTAGCACAATAAAAGGCAATAGTGAATTAGTCTATGGTATGTGGGCCGTAAGTATGACATTTTAAAATTATGTGCTATAAACGTTTTAGTGTCATGAGTGTATTCTAATACTGTTTGGCTTACATTTTGTTCACAATTTATTGTAGACAAAAAAACCATGAATCTCATCCAATATATTTACTTGAACTTGAGTGAGCCAGAATTCAGTTCCGGTTCATTAACTTATTTCTGAAACCTGTCTCCCAATACAACTCAGCCTGGCCCAGAACTTGTGAGCCTTCTGCCTCAGCCTCTGAAGCGCTGTGATTTCAGCATGACACATCACACCTGCTATGTTCTTTGGACATTTAAAATGGGAGAGAATTTGCCACCAAGCCTGGCGACTTGTGTCCAATCCCCAGACATCACAGAGAGGACTAAGAGAACTCCTACAAGTTCTCTTCTGACTCTGCATGCACCCTTGGCATTCCCCCGCCTCAACAAATGAATATGTGTAAAAAAAGGAGGGGGTGCCTAGTCTTACTGTATCTTGCTATGGCATGTTCAGTTTTATTCCTGGGAAGCCTGCTTTTTCTGAAGGGAAAATGGGGGAGGAGTGGATCTGGGGGAGAGGGGCAGTGGGGGAACAGATGGGGACAAGGAGGAGTGGAGGGGGGGCAAACTGCAGTCAGGGTGCATTGAAAACAAACAGACAAACAACGACAGCAACAACAAAAAACAAACAAAATACTACCGAAACATTTTTAAAAGAATGAAAAACCCATTTCAGTCCCTTTGATCTTTTAAAGGGCCTTTCTTGGGAAAGTAAGGGGGGAAAAGTCCAAAGTAAAATTTTTTTTTAAAAAAAGGACAATTTAATATTCTTTAACATCAGAGAAATTAGAAAAATGAAAATCCTTAGTAAAGTATTAAGCATTAGCATCCAAGCAAGGAAAATGCTATAGTCAGTCTCCTATCAAAGAACCTAAACCAGTTCTTCAGAGACAGAAAGACAGATCCCAGCAAAGACCAGTTCAGCAGTGTCCCTGACCACGACACACACTGCGGAAGTTTGCAAGGACAGGAGAGAGCGGGTCAGCACAAGAGGACCGCGGACCTCCGCCCTGAGTGGATGAGCAGTGAGCTCACACCCAGTCCAGGAAAGCCTTGCTAAAACTTTGAATTGGCAGCCTCGGTTCAGATGAAACAGGCATGGTGCCCCACGGTTGAGTCTCCAACGTCTTGTCCGAGGAATTCACAAAGCTTACAGGATCACTTCAGAGGATGAAGATATCCCTGTGTTTGCTGGATTGAACACTTTGACTGAATCTCAAAAGAGGAAGTGAAACCAACTCCAAATAGGTGGGCAGACTGATTATCACATGACTGGATCCCTATACCCAAAGCCATAGAAAGACAGAGAGGTGTCCTCCATTTATCAAACCATTCCTGAGGTAAGGGGAGGGGATTTCTCCTTTTTAAATTATTATCAGTGTATGTGAACTCTACAAAATATTTGGCTTTATTGCAACATTTTTCATATATGCATACAATGTAACTGGATTATATTCAGCTCCCATGATCCTTTGCTTTCCCCATGCCCCCTCCCTGAATCCCTCCCTTGGAAAGAGAATTCTCACTGAAGAGTAAGCAGTCACTCACTATGTGGAGCCAACAGAAGTGGACACAAGTGATAGCATTAAAGTCACTGAAGCCTTTCCCCCTGGGATTTTATAGTCCAAGTCCCCTCCCTTTCCTAGGTCCAAACTCCAATAACCAATTATCTGTCGCCTCCTACCTTCTCACTTGGGAGAAAGGTAAATGAAAAACTTGTTAATTAAAGTTCCCAAGTCATCAGACTGTCTGCTTCCTTCTGGGAAGTTTAACCTCACATCCTTCTCCGTGTGATATTTGTGAAGCGTTTGATAAGTTTCACTCTGTTTAAAGATTTTTCCCCCTTGCTCTTTAGCATTTCTAACTGAAGAGAGAAAAGTACATGTTTACTGAAGTCATCTTAAAGCAGTTTTTTGAGTGATTTTGTCTTCTGAAGCTGACTTTCATGTGAAGATGAAAAGAAATCTGTGTGTCTGCTGTCTTCACAGGGTGGGCACTGGCTCCAGATCTGGGTGAAACTTTGAGTCCCAGGGCACCACATACATAGAGGATGTGTGATAATATTTTAGAACAAGGGGCAAATAGCAGTAGAGAAAATTTCAAACAATGTCTGTGTCTTGATGTCTTAAAACTCATGCTTCTTTGAATGTATTAAAAGAACAATATTTTAAAGCTAGGTAAAAAAATGAATATTTTCTATACAATGAAATGGTAAATATTTAAGGTAATAGTCTGATTAACCTGATTTTAATGACACATAAAGTGCACACAAATTGAATCATCATGTGGTAGCCCACAAATATGTGTAATTGTAATGTGTCAATTTATGAAACTAATAATAATAATGTTATTCAAAAAAGAAATAAATTTATTCTGCAATGCAGCACAAACTTAACACTTAGAAAGAAGGAGAATAAAGCAGCAATTATGGCACATGCCTTTAATCCCTGCATTTGGGAGGTACAGGCAAGAGGCTCAAGAGTTCAAAGCCAGCCTCAGCTACACAGTGAGATCAAGCCATCCTGGTCTACATGAGACCCTGTCAGAAAGAAGGAAGAGTGGGGAATAGAGGTGGAGAGTTACAAAGCATATGTTTCAAAATAAAATAACCAAATAACATTGGAAGTGCAAATGAAAAATAGAAGTTGTAGTGATAATCTCACTTTGAAAGCATTAATAGATAAGAAACATCTGGAAACAAAACTAAGGAAAAAGTATTAAGGTAATACTACCTAAAGTATATGTGGTGGCTTGAATAGCAATGGCTCCCATAGGCTCATGGATTTGAATGCTCGGTCACCAGGAGTGCCATTATTAGGAGGTGTGGTCTTGTTTCGGTAGGTTGGTCTTACGGAGGAAATATGTCACTGGGGGTGGGTTTTGAGGCTTCAAA